CTGTGAGAAGGGAGGGGGTTCTGAGGGGGCACGGCTGTGAGGGCGGAGGAGGGGCAGGGCTGTGAGGGGGCAGAGGGCTGTCAGGGAGGGGGCAGGGGGAGGGGAAGGCTGTGAGGGGGCAGGATGCAGCAGGTGGGCAGGGGCTGGGAGCCTCCCCCAGCTCAGGTGGAGGAGGGCCCTGTGGGAAGAGGCACAGCTGCCTTCCCAGCCTCCATGCAGCACAGGCCGCTTCTGCCCCCTCCTTGGGTTGTGGCTTCTGTTGCTGTCACCCTCATGCCCTCTCTTATGGGGCAGGACCCCCCTTCCCAGTAGTCAGTTATTCCCAGGGGTCCTGGCAGGCCACAGGACTGAGCTCTCTAGGGAGGCTTCAGGTCACATCCTGGCTCTTGCACTCTATATAGCAAAATGTGTATTGTGCCCTGCCCCCATCTACCAGATTTGCTGAGGGGGAAGTGCCAGCTTTTATAAACCCCCCTCCCCATGGCTACCAACACACCCAAGACTCATGGGGTCGAGAGGGTTTCAAGTGGAACTGGCTTCTCACACAGGGACAACTTTCCAGATAACAAGGGGCCGCTAGTGCTGCTTGCTGGAGGGTGCATGCTCAGTCCCAGGAGGGTAGCATAAATATTTAATTCTCAGGGCACTACCTCTAGGCTAATCTGAAAGATCTTCTCAGACCAAAACACTCCCCATCCTCCGTTCTGTCTCACATATCATCCCATGATATTGCATCATTATGATGCACTGTTGCCAAAGTCAGTTAAGAGCCACAAACTCCACAATCAACAGAGCAAAATTACAGTTCAAATCAGAGATGGGGGAATACAAAAGTTCAGACATATCCACAAAGGATGCTTGCATGACTCTATGGAGGCTTCTAACACTTCCTGTGACCCTCCCTTTGTTGGGTCTTGATTTCCACTCCTTGTCTCCTCAGCAGCACCAGATACTACAATGACTGGAGCCAAATTGATTACTTAAATTAGAAAGAGAGCCCCTTAGAGGGATGGGAAAGTTTAGGCACTGTCAAGACAATATTTAATGGGAAGTAGAAACTTTGAAAGCAGAGACCTCGAGTGTGACATGGTAACAAAACCAAATTGACCCCGATGCCCCAGTGTAGTACTAGGCGGTGCAATGCTGCAGGAGTAGGATGGGAACTCATCAGCGCATTGTCTAGACAAATATTTAGAAGCGTGATGCTAGCCAACATTACAAACGCCAACCAGGACAGCACATGTTACAGGCAGTGTGCCATGCCTACACTAGTCCTGAGCACTGGTTGGTAACATGCATACATCACACTTTTAAATCCTCATCTAGAGAAGGCCTCAATGAGTCCAGATCCTAGTGTCTTGGCCTTGGGCTCCTGAAACTGCCATCTTTCCTGCGATAGTTCAGGAGCTTTATTTAGTCAGATTTTTTTTGAGGCCAGAGGGAACCATTAGTTCATCTGTGCAATTTGGCACCTGTTGACTCAGGCTGCAGGACTCTTTAATTGGGCTGTAGACACTGGCTCAGGCTCCAGCCTGATCTCTGGAACCCTCTCACCTCACGTGGTCCTAGTGCCCAGGCTCCAGCCTAAGCCTGGAAACCTACACTGCAATTAAACAGCCCCACAGCCCGAGTCAGTTGGCATGGCCCAGCTGTGGGTTTTAATTGCAGTGTAGACATACCGCTAGTCTGATCTCCTGTCTATCACTGGCCAGACAATTTTATTCATTTACCCCGCTATTGTGACCAATATTTTGTGCTTGACTAAAGCACCTCTTCCAGAAAGGCCTCCACTTCCTTGGGAGTTTGTTCTAGTAGTAGGTCACCCTCAGTGGGAAATATTTGTGCCTAATTTCTAATTTGATGGTCTGGCTTCAGCTTCCAGCCATTGATCCTCATGTGCCTTTCTCCATTAGATTAGAGAGCCTTTTAGTACCTGCTGTTTTCTTCCTATGAAGGTACTTACATGCTAATCAAGTCACCTCTTGATTCTTTTTAACAAACAAACTAAACGGATTGGAGTTCTTTAAGACTCTCTCACTTTTAAGGCATTTTCTCCAGCCCTCCAATCCCTTGTGTGGCTCTTCTCTGCACCCTCTCCAATTTTTCAACATTGTTTTTATAGA